AAATCCAAGAAATTAGCTACCTGCACCCAATTTCATGAGTCCGCTTGCAACCCCCCCCCCCAAATAGAATTTGCCCCTTTATAACTGGAGAAATTGCCAAAATAGCATTAATGAGATAAAACGCTGAGCTTGACCTCATATAGCTAGAGCACTTAGGCATTCTACAAACATGACTCACGAAGTGGGGTGCTTGCAAGAAACCACAATTATACAGTTTATTGTCAGCCTAATTGCCATCGATACCCATTCTTAATATTTTCTGCCAACTTACTCATTCACTACCGGTCACAGTTTAAACAAATCAAAGCACTAAGAAAGACGAACGACGACTGCGAATTGAACGCCCAATTAAATGACTGGAAATAAAACCCTACTGTTTCATAGAGAAGCCACTATGTTTAAGCGGTATTCACAAGATATCTCGGATCTTGGGAAAACCTAAGCTTATTTCATTTTTTACAGTACACACTTCTTTTTCTATGCCTCAAAATTATTAAAAATATTTGATATTTATAGATGGACTGTAGGCAAAACTTAAAATGTCAATCAATCTAAAATATAACCAATTTTGAGTCTCTCTTTAAATATTCTCCTTTTAATGCAGGGATGGTTGTTAACAGGCTGTTGGCCTCCCGAGGGCCAACACAAGTACCAAATAAAGGAATTCTTTTAATATGCTGGAAATTTTAACTAACAACATTCCCATTAAAACTAATATTTTACCAGTAGCTTCTTCTTAAGCTTAGGAAGTCAAGAACTTTCTGAGTTAGCGAATTCGTCTTTGAATAATCACAATCCGATGTCATACTCCATAGACCATCACAGCTCAAAATGCATTGCTGCATTATTGGAAAAGGTTAGGCGGCATGGAAGGGGTGGGGGGGGGGGTCATTCGTACGCGCAGTTCCTTTAATAAAATCATCTAATTCAAAATACAAAAATAAAAAAAATCTATAAAAGTCCACACAATACTTCTTCAACCAATATACAAAAACCCTCATCATACAATTTAAGCAATACCATTATTATACCTCGATGTAAAAATCGACAAAATGTATCGACATACCCCGAATTAAGTATAAACGTCCCTTGGCGAAGTCCGTTGAGTCCTAAAATCTTTTCATAAATACATCTCGTGGATCTCTGATTCAGGTTTAATATATCCATGGGCAATAAGATTGTCCGGATCAATAAAATCAAACTTCGGAAAATTGCAACTGGTTCCGTAGTTTACCAATTGCATCGTCTATAGTGAGGCGATGTCCAAGCTTTTTAACTCCAAGTTCGGACAAATCGTCTTTGGACAAATCAGCTAGATGCAAACCTTGAATATCATTTTCTAAAAAACTAACTTTGTACTGCCCCATATTGATATAGTCCAGCCAAAAACCGACCTCTTCTGAATTCCATTCCGGGTACGGTTTATTAGAAATTGAGGCCGGTAGGTCACTTTTCACCCTACAAAAGAGGAAAAATATACAATTTTAAAGCGAAGTAAAGATTTTCATCTAAGATTTAAGTATAAAACAGACACTTTCCTACAAATTTTATAAACACTGAAAGACCTGGCCCACTAAAACTTCAACAAAGATGACTAACTCTAAAATTTCATACAATTTCATATATATTACGTATGCCACAAAAAAGGTAGGATAACTTTGTAAAAAAAGTCAAGTTCAATTTTCAAAAATAAAAAATTTTAAAAGACAGCCAGTGGGTGTACAAGCAAATTTTCAAAAATTCTTGCCATTCCAATTTAACATGGTTTCAAAAAAACATATCTCGCGGAAAGTGAAGAAAATTTTCGCGACAACGAATTGACTTGTCCCTTTGACCAAATGAGAATAGCATTTCAATAAAAACAGGCAGCGGAATTTTTTATTCAAGATAGTTGGAAAAGCAAGGGTCTTTATTCTAATTAAGAGGCGAAATAGATGAGCTGTTTCTTGAGAAATTGTAAATAAAGTAGGTCTAGGCATGAGGTTTGTGTACGAAAGCAGCAGTTTCAAAGGTTTAAAATCACGAATCTCTGCTTAAAAGCGCACGTCTTTAAGCGGGGTAACACGGCGTAATAAAGTAGCTTAAGCAAACAACAATTTTCTGCTTACTACATCATCCAGAAAACTATCAGAAAATTACAGAAATCTGAGAACAAAGAAGCAAAGAAAAGAAAAAAAGCTACCTTGGCGGTGAATACGGTGGTGGAGGATCCGCCGCCATATTTGTCATCACGGGCGCAGTCTGCAATGAAAAGCGATGTTTTTTAATAAAAAACGCAAAATCAATAAAATGGTTTAAATAAGGAAAAATTGCAGTAGCCTTTATAAGGCGTTCCTACTCTCTTGGAGGGGTGGGGGTAGCTGTTGTATAGATTATTCTAGAATCTACGGGTGTTGTATGGCTTTTGCTATAATTTGGGGGTTGCTATACTTTTCCACAACATGGGGGCTGTTAATAGTTCGTTTGAAACCCTGGGGTCAGTTTTAAGATTCACCCTTTGTTATAAGCTGCTATAGACAGCCTCCCAAAAGATGCCAAAAGTTCATGAAAATTGTTCAAAGATAAAAAACAAGTTGATTAAAAGGTATTATGTTGGTATCGAAAATGTGTTATCGTATTAGTGTTGCGTTGTTGGTTTTTTAGCAGCAAGAAAACCAAAGTTACGAAACAAATTTCTTTGTATGCAATGGCTTCCTTTAAAGTATTTATTTCCATTTTATATATCTTATATTGAAAAGAATGAATTAAATGGAAAGAGCTGATAAATGAAAAACATAAAGTTTTCACGATTGAAAAACATCACATGTTTTGTCTAACACGAATCATCAGAAAAAGTAGCTTGGTCGCAAAGGAAAACTCAACTTATTTGCCTTGAAAAAAACAAATCAAAACAACAGCGTTATAGGTTGCAAAGGATTGACTGACCTTTGAAATATCCTGTGGAAAGCTCTCCATGTTGTTCATGAACTCCGATGGTGGCGGGGGCAAAGGGCTCAGAGGTGGTTCTTGCGGTACACCATCCATGGAATCAAGATGGGGCCCTTCGTTGCTTTCATTGACAGAATTAGCAGACGCAAACATCAACGGCGGGGTTACTATATCCGACCTCGTTTCAGCCTGCGCAGCCAGCCTCGTTTCAGGTTGTTTTTGCTCTTGTGAAGAGGGCTCCGCAACGATAGAAGAACTGGAAGCATTAATACTTTCAGCTACGACATTCAGATCATCACAAGAGGCCCGAGATTGTGGTTTAGGCCTAATAGGAGGGGGCCCCTTGTTGCTAATATCTGCATTATGTTTTACTTGATCCTGAGCTGGTGCCTTGACACACGATTCTTTATTAACAGATTTCAATTTTACTCCTAGGAATCCCTTATCTATATTATGTTGATTCACAGAGGAAACAGTGCTTGGCCCCTGTGTCTTGGTTGTTGAGCCATTCTTTGCTATCTTCTCCGCCCGTCTAGCAACTGCATTAGCAAGTGCTGACGCAAGATCTGGAGGCTGTTCGCCGGGGGCTTGCCCTAAAACATCACTGACATCGATTCCGGAATCCTTCGATATCTGGGTGTCCAGACTCGAAGTACTACTTGCGGCGTAAAGATTATGATAGTCCGGATTTTTGCTATCTTTGGTTTGCAGAACTGTATCAGCACTAGACGATTTTGGTATACCTGAAGAGCGCACGGGTTCGTTTTCATTTATAACATGCAGACCCTGGTCTTTTCTCCTTTGAGCTACAGTTTCATCAATAGATAACTTTGAACTCCTGTTTCGCTGTTTACGAGCCTTGACAACGTTTCGTAACGCTAATGCGAAATCACTAGTTGGTTCATCTTCATCAGATGACTGGCTCTGTGGACCAGTTGGTTCTGAAGCTGTTCTAGTGGCAGGCGCGCGCGGTGGGTTTTCTACCGTTGCAGGCACTGATAGCGATCTGCTTGTTGAAGGATGCGTTTCTTCTGGTGGTGGTGGAGGTGGTGAGTACGACGGTGCTGCCGGGATCATTGTTGGCGGCGGCGGAAAAACATCACTCCCGGAGCTTTCCGTTCTGTCTCTTGCGTCAGGTTTCGTTACTGGATCCGCTTTTGCGACAAGTTTACGCTCTGAATCACCTCTTTGAAAAGATGGTTTTCTACCAACTCGACGCCAAGTTTCGAGAGTTGCTTCGTAACCTGGTGGCTGGGGACGAGCATTCGAATCTGAAGACGCTGTTTCGTCACTATTTTGACTCGAACTACGCGAAAACCGTCGTGGCAACGTTGCAAAATGCGAGGTATTGTTAACATTAGGAGTCGAGCATGCCGAATTCGACGAAACCGATCCTGAACGCTGACTAAGCCCTGTATTTTCTTCAAGCATACTCATCGAAACACCTTTCGTTTTACGAACAACGCCTTTCGATATTTCCTCGGTTCTTGTGTTATCTGGGTGCAACTTCAGAGCAGTGTCAGACCACATGCTTTTCACCGATCGTTTTCTTTGCACTTTTTTATCAAGCGTCATAACCGTGTCAACATTAGCCGGCAAAATATGACAGTCAGGCAATGAGCTGCCCCCACCTAAATGTCCAACTGTCATACTAGAGTACTGGGATCTTGGTGGGGGTGGGGGTGGTGTTTTCTTTGTATCTTTTTGGGGTAATTTCTCCTCGTTGTTTTTCGATTGGGTTGACTTACTCAATTTCGGAGAGGCGACCAGCAATTCAGGAGAAAATGACTGCGGCGTTACAGTAATAACTTTTAGTGACAATGCTTTACCAGTATTTGCGACTAACGAAACAACATACCCATGAGTTGCATTTGTGACGTCCTCGCCATTCACTTCCAAAACGAAGTCACCTGGTTTCAAACCTATCTTATCAGCTGTTCCACCTTTGTCCACCTCACCGATGTACTGCAAAGCAGGAAACTCCGGTGTCGGCGTGAACTCGATCCGTACAGCATGAGAGTTTGCGCCACGAAGCTGAAAACCAAAACCTTTATCTCCCTTTCTGAAATGCACTATCCTCGGCACTGCTAAGTCTAGCTTTGAAGGCTTCTCGAAGAGGCCCTTGTTACCTGATTTCTTACCAAACCATGTTCTATAATTTTCCTTCTTATTGGTCTTCTTCAACTCTTGTAAACATGCACTTGGAAACCAGCCTGTGCGTTCCTTAACCCGACCTTCCCAGAACCCCTGCTCGCCAATGAAAAGCACCTCCACAGAATCACCCTTTTCCAAAGCAAGTTCTCCAGGGGCCTGGGGTTGATAATCGACAACAGCTATAAACTGCCGTCCAGGTATACTTTGGTACAGGCGACTTTTCAGCTGTGATTTGGTACCTGGTGAAAGGTAATGAAACAAACATTAATTCCTTTTTTAATAAAACAAAATATATTCAAATACTCGTCCGCTTGAATTCATTGTTCTATATCTTAAAATAACGTTTCGTCTGTTTACAATGAGGGTCTTAATCGATAAGCTTTTGGGAGAGCTTTTCATAAATATATTATTATATTTTGATTATTTATCTGTTTGCCAACATATCTAAAATCCCGGAATGACGACGAAGAGATTTTATGCCCTCTCTCCCCAGTTCATTGTTGATATCTCTGCTACTAATAGAACGAATACCCACCAACTTTAGATAGGGAGGGGAAGGGGAGGGGTAGATGCTGGACTATACATTCACGCTAACGGGCCATGTTCAGGAGTTTCTCAACAGCTCTGCCCAAGATTGTAGGCTCCCTCTCCAAGATTTTTCCAAATTTTTTAGTTTTTTAACTGACAATGTTGGAAATTTGTTACCTACCAAACATTCATTTTGGGTCGAAGAAACTCAAAAAACACTGTTAATTATCTATATGATGAGTGGTTTTAATTTTTGTCACATAAATAAAAAATAAAAAAGGGAAATTTTTAGTGTGTTCTATCAAGAAATTTTTTTTAACAAATACTACTTTTTGAACCAAAGAACGGATTGATCAATGAAAAAAGCGTTGCTAAAAATAAATTGTTTCTTACTTGGGCCGGCTTTGATTGGGGCTGGAGCTTTTTTCGACATAGCACCAGTCGAAAACGTCCTACGGTCAACTTTCTTGTGCTTGTTTGTGCTCTCGTCATCGCTGTCAGAGAGGTCTGATGCAGAATCGTCGGTGTCTCCTGCCTTATGTTCGACCGCCAAGTTGTTGTTGGTAGTCTTTTTGGAACTCTTTAAAAACATGGCGTCTTTACTGGCCTTTTGCTGATCCAATTCAACCCTACTGGAAACGGTAGCGCTGCGGGGAAGCTCTTTGTGTTCCGGCACCGTTTCGTGGGTGCTGGAGATCTGTTGTGATGGATGTGCGGTGCGCACCCTCCGCCGACGGCTGTAAACGGGCTTTTCTTGGAACGGTGTTACTTGATTGTTGTCAAACTCCTCAATCAAAGTAGCAATTTCGTGATTTCCGGACAATATCGCATTTTCGTATGCGCTTTGATTGGCGTAGTTAAGAACTGTCCGGTCTGCACCACGAAAAAGAAGAATCCGGGCACAGTTCAATTGATTTCCAATAGCACAAATATGAAGTGGAGTATTACCTGTGGCTGTTCGACAATTCAAATTTGCACGGTAAAAAATCAGATGCTCAAGATGCTTATCGAGGCCCTTCCTGCAAGCTAAATGGATCTCTTGTGTGCCTTGATGGTCGCATGCTCCGAGAATAGAGCGCTCATTAAGAAGAAGCTCACAGCAATGATCTGTAGCAGCTGACAAAATACCATGCCAAAGTGCAGTTAAGCCCTGTAATGAGAGGAATTAAATTAACGCTTTGAAATTCGGACATGAACTGATTGGTTACGGTCATTTTAATAATAATAAGGAACAATTCGCGACGCACGCTGTATTCCGATCTACTTAATAAACATAACTCGAGTTTCTCGTACATGCACATAGATAATTAGATACTGTATTTACTGTTGCAGTGTTCAAAATTAGCAAAATTTCAGGAAAGTTAGAGCCTGTGAGATGATTGAATAAAATAAACGGAAACCATGCTTCGTTCAGGGACACAGGAAGGTACTTATTACTCTTAAAAACGTAGGTCGTTCTTCTTGAGAGAATTAACTGTATAGAAGAACAGGAAAATTTGGTGGCTTTTCCTACTAAATTTATTCAGCCTTGCATAGGATTAACACGATTTTTCTTCTGGTTACGATAATGAAACAAAGATCGTTTTCATTTAGCAAAGAAGGAGAGAACCAGACCCATTATAGCCTGAACATGCATTTTTGATCTTCAATTACTTTTAATCAAAGATAACAAGACTAAAAACAGATGTAAGAACAGACTAACGGGATAAGGGTCTTGGGCCTTTGAACATTGATGTAACCCCGAAAAGACGTTAACTAGTTTTTGGCGTTAATTTAGAGAACTCATACTGGATTTCCTCAAACTTTAGAAAAAGGAAATCCTTAAAATAAGATTAAGTTAAGTGTAATGGCACCAGGGACAAGGTAACGAGAATCGCCTTAGGGATATAAAAAATTTGAATTGAAGAAAAGGCGACAAAAAACGGATAATGATAAAAACCAGTAGAGTACGTTGGCCTTCACAATAAGGGAGGGTCGAGAGACATTAAAAGAAGAACATATCGAAGAAGAACAAATGCAACTCTCAATTGTCCCTCCATCCTCTCTGGTCTGTCGATATTGGTTGATGATGATTTTATCAACTAACTAAAGGTTTTCCATACCACCCAGTGGCGGTGCCAGCTACTGCAAGGCGAGAGGGTGAGCGATCTTAAGGGTGAGATGGTAAACTTTCAGATGACGCCATTTTTGCATCGTTTAGTGCTTTATACTTTTTGCATCGTTTAGTTCTAATGCTTTTTACTAAGGTAAACCTTGAAAAAAATATCTTACGCCTACCTGATGCAATTATATCAATTTTCAAAAGAATTGTGTGGAACATAATTTTGACAAAAGTGCAGGAGGGGGGCTTATTACCTGCGCACCTCCCCTGGCGCCACCCACTGTGCCAGCTGGTGAAAAAAGGGGCAAGACCTTTCTTTATACCCTTGACAGACTATAACATCAACAAGCTATGTTTTCTTTCGAAATGGAGGTTAGTAATTTTGTTATAGTTTCATTCTAAATGATTCCTGGCAACTAGCGTTAACACTGTAACCACTAACACTGTTTTGGTGGGGGATTGTGGATTCGGATACTTTCAGCGACAATTGGAGAATTATATTGTGGCTTACGAAAGAGCTTGTGCCCCCGTAAGACTTTAAACCTCTTGAAGTTAGCATAAACTTAAAAGGGGTGTACCGAGGGACAGGCAAGGGGACACAACCAAAAGAAGCTCCCTAACAGTAATTTTTGTTAAATAAGTACTTGAACTATGTGAGTTTTAAGGAGGGATAAAGGCATTTGAAATAAGACAAATGTCACCAAGAAAGTCGTTATAAGCTGATATCAACGATCAAGCTTTGCTTTTAGGATCAAAGAATTCAACAGTGTGAAACATAAGATTTAAATCTAATCCGCTTTCAGATTAATTCAAATCAGATCGAAAAACTGATGCAAAATCCAAAACTTTAAAGCTATTAAGGTTTGGAAAGAAACAACTGTCACGGTTTAGATAAGGGGTCTTGGGAAAATGAAGGAAGAAAAGGTCGGGGATCGAATTTAGAGAAGTTTATGCAAGGTTGACTGGCGCAATGATTGACAAAACTTTCAGGAAAAGCAATGTCAGTATTGGGTAAAGGTGGTTAAAATATTGGGAAACAAGACAATTTTCGTTTGCTGGCATCCGAGTTTGGGGCAAAGTTGTTCAATAACACATTTTAAAATAGCCCATTCCTAGGTGAAAAACATCTCGGCATAAATTTTTGTTACGAAAATTAGCAAACTTATGGCGATAAATTTCTAGGCCTAAAAACTAGTACAAATTCTTAATAAACACATGCTACTGGGAACGGCAGTGCTTGAGAGGTTGGAAGAATAAATATGATTTGTAAATATAAACCAATTCGAGGTGGCAAAAACCCAGTTGAGCACATACATTGTTCTTGATTTTATTATGAATAGACATTTGATGTTAGAATGCGAGTCATGATTAAAGGAAGGGTGGGATGAAGGCGACAATGAAAAACAAGCAAAGAATGAAGGATAGGTCTATTATAAAGATAGAAAGCATGAAATAAACTTAATCATAAAGGGAGGAAATTCATAAATGAGGGTCCCCCGTGTTTGTTATCAAACGGTTTATTGTTACTTATGAAAGGTCCTATGAATGCCTTAGGTTAATTTGGTCGGAAAACCTCCCGTGAAAATAATTTTCTGTATAAAATGACTCAGTAAAAACAATTGAAAAGCACCTAGGGTTTCTGCAGTTTTTTAGAATAGTTCTTATTGAACTTTGGTGAGTTGCCAGCAGTTTGTAAGGATTATGAAGACGCTGGCTGGACTCTACAAACCTGATTAGTCTTTCCGGATAAAATAAAGGCAGAGCAAAATGGGTTTTCAAAATCTGAGTTGGAAATCAGAGCTCTGACGTAATCAAAATCCCATAATGCATTGTTTGGTCACTGGACAACGATGGTATCCTACAGAGGGCGAGGAGGGGGGATTGTTCGACAAGACTTTACACGAAAGGATATATCTGTTGTTAATGTCGTGAAATGAAGAGCTCAAGCATGGGTATCTCTGCATGAGGCACAGTTACCCCCCAGAAGATAAAACAATAGAACAACCAATCCCCATTTCGTGACGAAGAGGAAAGCCCATAAAACGTAGCGGGTAGAAGCACCATTGAAAATATTGTTGGGAGTTGACCGAGCGAAACTCTTCTAATGTGTAAGCAGTGGCGTAGCGTGACCTTTCTCGCTGGAGGGGTGGGGGAGGGTGTAAAAGATGCAAAACCATATTTTACCAACAGAAATTATTTGTTACATTTGACATAAAATTATTTTGTTATAGATGTAATTCTAACGACGAGTTCTCAGAAAGTTGGGGGGCGTGACACCCCCCCCCCCGCACGCTACGCCCCTGTGTGTAAGGCAACCCTCTGTCTTGGCGTCAAATACTTTTGGCAATGAATTTGACGATTTTGCCCTTTAGAATGGCAAAGAAATTAAGATGAATCAACATGACATGGCGGAAGAGGTCCTTGAGAAAAGCTGTTGCTTGAGGTCCAAAATATGTTACTACGTTAGCTCAGAACTATCAAGCGGTGAACAAAATAGTTCGATTGATTGTCTCTAAGATATTCGGTAAAAGTATTTCAAATTAACAAATTTTCATAAAAAGCAACAATAGAATTAAAAGAGGGATTTAATCTTACCTTGGCATCTTTGTAGTTTGGAGAGGCACCAAGATCCAAAAGAAACTGAAAAGAAATAGAAAATCTTAATTTTTGACCAAAATAGGCACTATATTTTCAAGGTGTCTGAATTGTTCTTGAACATCAAGATAGGAAAAAAATTGAAAATTACTTCAACGAGACATGGGCGAGTACATTTGTGATACTTGAAGAAAACTGCCTTAGTTACTTTCTCGATTTTTCGACACAGCGTTGAGAGAAATAAAATCAATTCAAACATGTTTCGGTTTCTACCTACCGAAAACTTTCAGACGCTAAAAGCGCAATACAAAACAAAGAAATTACCGAGAAAATTAGCAACGGCGTGGGTTCCTTCTTATACTTTCATGTGGGTGCTTTGTTGACGAAAACGAGCCAGATATCTGATATATAATAGAGTCTCGATATTTCTTCTTGCATGACCCTTAATAGTTTGTCCGTCGTGCTTTGGTTTGCAAAGTGACACTAGACGTTGATAAAGGACCACTTAAAACAATCTTGTCTTAATTCTGAATGAAATATCACTGCTCCGAGGTCGTTAACTTCCTCAAGGATATCCTTAAGAATTTAAAAGTCTGTTTGTATGGCGAAAAAGAATGTTTACCTTTATTAGACAAGACTTGAAAAGATGGAAGGAAGTCTCACGTTTTCCGATAAATGCTTGTGGCTATCACGCAAAGTAGCTAGCTCTGGGATTCTATCAAATTTTGAGGAAATCAAATAAAGTTTTGCATTGAATTAATTCGTGTGAAATTCACTACCACTTTATGTCACACATGAACGAGGCATTTCAATTAACAGTCTCGTTTGAGAGATTATTTGCAATGTCTATTTATAGAACTCTGGAGGGTGCTACACAAAGAAAATGTAACAAATGAAACAAATAGCTAAGAACGTTTCAATAAAATTTAAAAAATGGAATTAGCAAAAACTTTACGTGTGGCTCCACCTGGATGAATTCATACCAGTGCGAGCAAGGTATTCGAATAAGACGTTATAAGGAGGGTATTGACAGTGGGGTGGGGAGTGGAGAATGGGAAGCAGTCACACGTAAATCTTATGGGGGAAATTATGGCTCTTCTGGCTTTTCTGGGGCGTTCTACGTTCTACGTCGTCCTTTAATTTATTTGCCATTGTTTTCAAGAGAGATAAAGATAAATTCATACGTTTTTGTGGATAAAATACATTTTGGGCGCCATGTCCCGAGTCTGGGTAGGATTTTTTGTACTTTTTAGAAAAAAAGTACCAAGGATTTAAAAATGGAGTTTCTTCTTTATCCAGCGAATAATTTGGCATCTTCTTCATTACTCGTTTGACAAGAATTTATTTTCAAAACAAAATAAAAACCTACGCGTGCCTCTAAAAACCTAGGAATCTTTTTCATTGCGGTTGTAAAATTGTTCACAATGTAAAGAGCTTTGTCTTAACTTTCGCGTCCGTGGGTGGTACATAATAAATAAGTTAACAAGCAGGTTCCTTCAAGAATGCCTTTTGCTATAAAATCTTGGCGGCTATTGTAACCAACACAGCACTGATAGAAATACTGAAGCAAAGAGTAATTGTGTCAGTAGGTCAACCGGGTCGCAAGAAGATTCGAGAAGTAAACAATGAAATTTCACAAACAAAAACATTTGACATTTCGCAGATAAAGGTGCGGACCTGTAACGAAGATAGAAAGAAAAGAGAGGGCTGATGTAAAACTGTGTGCCGGGAGGGAGTGTGAGTTTGGTGTGAACAGGCGCATTTGTTACCTTTACCAATCATTTATTATTGTCAGTGCTCTTACGTTCGGTTATGAAACTGCTACTGCAGTTATTCTTGATGCCTAAACGAGGACCTTGCAGCAAAAATATTTTGACAAATACAATGTCACAGAGGTCGAGAAGGGGGGATAGGCCTACGAGGTCATGCACTTCCTGTAAGATAAATTGTAAATACTTGATTAAGCATATCTTTTGTCTTAAGCCTCCCAAGAATAAGGTAAGGCCCATGTATCTTTTCCAGTCTCAGTCTTAGGTTTTTATAACACCATACTGGTATATAGTGCCAAGCAAAGCACGTGCACTGCTTACAGTAGCTGGCCTTTCGCCACGCCTACTTTCTATCATACTTTGCATGTTACCAATGCATTACAGCAGTTTTCAAAGAAAATCGCACGTTAGCTGCCCCTAATGTCGCCTGGCCACATGTTCCTTTTGCACATGAATAGAACGTCTTGCTTTTCACACAATCAGATGTAGCCATCTATATATCCTTATTCTCGCTTACTGTTGGATTTGACACTGAATGTGAGATTTGTTAAAGAATAGGAGTAGCGTATCCTCTTAGAAGTTAGGCCACTATAAAATAGTAACTATAAAAACGAACTATAGATGGCTAAAAATAATAAGGAAGGACCAGCAAAATTATTAAAGATTACGGGAAAAATGACCGGGAGAAAAGGTTTGAGAAAGAGAGTGAATGGGGAGGTCTGAATGTGAAAAAGAGGCAATATCAGTATTCTCAATGTAGAGGAATGATGATGTGTAAATGTAGCCTCAATTGGAAACCCTAGATACGCCATGGCTTTTGCCCCTGTATCACATCAACGAAGAGGCCCCTTGCTTTTATTAACCTCATAGTTTTTACAGGTGAGAAATTTTGATTGAAGCAAAAAATAGATGAAAGCGTTCATTTGATCGGCAGATAAAAAATTCCAGCAGGTGAAATGCCGCGGATGTTGCTGAATTGGTTATGCTGCATTGGCAAACAGGATTGAATCATGTTGACATTGCTCTTACCTATAGAAAACATTGGAAATCCTCGAGATTGGCAACCTATCGTAAAACGATCGCTCACTCAATGAAGAAAGAAACAACGAGCTTGTGTCTAGATGCTGAATAAGCAAGCGAGTTACTTGGCTTATGAAAGTTTTATCGACTCAGAATTTTATATTTCGCAAACTATATTGAATACGGGTTATATTTGACTGCAAGGGCAGGTATTTAAATGATCCATGTTGCGATTGAAATTTCAACGATACGTAGGGAAATCATTCAAATAAGTATTGAAATTTCCACATGCCTGAAGTAGAATTAAGGTTAATCCAAGATTTCTATTAGCCGAAAAGATACAATACTTACTCAACAAGGAATCAAATCGCAATTTTCATCTGCTTGGAGGCCGGATTTTAGATTGTCAAAAGATCGATAAAAGTAGCACAGTACTATCACTAGTTTTGCACAACTTACTGCCAAACATCACTTTCAGCGTATGCCTAGGCCATGATCATAGAGAATTAAGCGACTGAGCCGCATTTCAATTCACAATAATAAAAAATTCAAATCTGAGTACGAATCTAGAAATAAGAGATTAATTATTCATATGTCTGTAGTCTCTGAATACACGCAAGTCTACAGTGCTCCTGCAGAGTGGTCATGCGCTGGCCTAAACGGAACTACGGCACCACAGCCACCCACACTTGACAATAGCGTAACCAACGTTTTTGGCGTAATGAAACTGAATGGAACGTACTTCAAACGTTGAACGATTCAATTCCTTTCATTTTCTGCTGCAATGGTTTTAACACAAGATCAATAGCCTCGTCATTGCTTACGAAAGCTAAAGACGGTTCAGAGAATTCAGCATATTTATTTCCTTCTCTTCTTCGGCCTTTTGAGGAAAAAAATTTGCATATCTGATAACTTCATAGAAAGCTCCATAAAACGTTAAAAAATTATTTAAGTAATGGGAGGAATTGACTGGATGACAGTGAAAGGAAAAGAGAGTAATTTCACAAAAATGATGTTTCAGTGCTGCGCAGTATCCAAAATGAGGACTGGACTTACTGAGGAGTAAATAAGGAGGCTTAACAACTATTTGTTTCATATTTGTTTTATAACTCTATTCAGTGCTTGAGAATATAAACAATTTATTTCTATTTCACATTTCGTCAGTTTTCTTCTGTGTTTAAGCCCACATAAACATTCAAAAGTTCACAGAATTTTCGTCAACTATTAAAACACTCACAATAAATTTCCCGCGCAAATGTCATTGTGCTTGAGATTAGGAAATGAAAGCTGTGTCTATTAACATAATATTATGTGTTTTTATGGAAAATAACGGTAATAAAAGACCGAATATAAATAATTAAAATGTGATGATAGCAAGAAGCATTTGCACTGATGCTGATGCCATCATTAACAAAATGCTTATTTACACAAAAACCCAAAAAGATAAAAGATCGCTAATTGTCAAGTTTCTACTTCAGTTAAGTCTGTTAGTTGTTAACAAAGTGTCTTAATATAATAGTTTCTACATATACATAATAGTTTTCGCGAAAAAAAGATCATAAAAATGTCTCAATTTTCTTGCTGTCTGGCCTTTTCCCATTCATTATTTCTTAGCAATAGCCGGGACTAAATTAACGCTATGTTTTATATTTGATTCTCGATTGATTGGTATGAACTTTTAGATTTAAAGGTGGTTGCCTCTTGAAGAAACTAGCCTTGTAAAACTGATTTTTTAATGGAATATGCCAATGGTTTCGAAAAAGGACCCATGTGAGGAGTCGACAGGAATTTTCCAAGGGGATGTGTTGTCTGAAATTATGTAGAAAACTGAGTTTCAGAGCCCGAGCTATAATAGAAGATATCCTAGATATTATAACGGAAGAGAGGGGGGCCAGAAAGATCCTGTGCACCGCACATGGCTAAAATTTCGAAACCATCGGTTTTATAAATCCTTCATCCTGTTTATATTTCTAAGAAAAAACATATGCATGGGTACCGTGAAGTCACTTCTTTGTTTCTATCGTTTATATAAACCATTGCGATTTCTAACAAACTGCTTGCATAGTAACGATCGATTGTTTTGTTCAATTTGAATAAAACAAACCTTAGTGGTTCTTAATTTTGTAGAGTAAAGGTTTCTATTCGGAAAACACGAAGAAAACAAGCAGGTAGGGCACGATGTACTGCACGCCAATTTAAGTGTAGAAGTCCCAAGAATTTCGGGGGGGGGGGGGATTCTTAAAAGTGTAAATTGTG